TAACATATAATAAAAACCATAACAACATCAATAAAAGCATAAGTCATTAGTGTCTCCTTGTTAAAAACATTGGACACATAGACACAAAAGCATAGACCCACAACATATATAGATAGACACAGAGGCAATTTAACATTCCAGCTTTTTCCAGCTTCATGAGGATATGCTCAAATTCTGGCCTCCGGGGGAGGTGTCGCTTCATCGTCTACTTGTGATGCCAAGTCCTTTGATGGAGTACTTCCTCATTCTTTCGCACGCTGCTGGAGATTTTTATGGCATTGTAAATTAGTTTAATTAGTCTCCCCATATAAAGCGGGACCTAAATTTCCTATTGACAGATGCAACTGTCTTTCGAGCTGCAAAGGTCGACAGCAAGCTAGATTAATGGTCAGGAGCTTACTCCAATTTGGGCTGGCTTCGCACTCATGACCTTTGAGTCAGTAGTGATTTAATGCAGCTGACTCCTAACCAGCTGCGCCACAGCCCTGTCCATTGAATTATTGTCAATGCTGTGAACCACCCTGAGTCCCCTTCGGGGTTGAGAAGGGTGGTATGCAAATACCGCAAGTAAATAAATAAAATAAATCAACAAGTAAGCAGAAAAGAAATCCAAGTATCTTCAAACACCAGACAGGACAGAAAGCGACTGAAAGCTTGAGCTTGGAAACATTACCTATTTTTGACAATACAAAGTGCTTAGAGGTATAGTCCAAAAATGGAACTTTTCCAAAGTTTGTCCCAGCTGGCATCAGAATAATATTGAGAAAAGTGCCAGATGGATACCTGACCTCCCTGCCCTGTGCTGGATGCCATAGCAAAGAAGGCTGGATGCCACGCAATCTAGCCAATTGTGTTGTTTTTGCAGTCCTCACAATATTTCTCCATGGTAAGCCAGTAATTTACTATCTACTTCAAGCTGAGAAAGCTGGATAAATAAGAAAGCTAGGGCCCTTCCACACAGCCCTATATCCCAGAATATCAAGGCAGAAAATCCCACAATATCAGCTTTGAACAGGGTTATGTGGAATCAGATAATGTGGGATTTTCTGCCTTGATATTCTGGGATATAAGGCTGTGTGGAAGGGCCCCTAGTGAAATAGTTTGCTGTGTTTGCATGTGTTCGCTTCAGCCCTCCACCCAAAGCTGCAGCCATATGGATTAAGTCAGTTCTGAGCTAATAGCATCAGAAAACTTTACAACAGCGATTAGCACGGGTCTGTGGAAGAGGCACATTTCTAACTTCCAGCACGGTTAGCAGTCTGGTCTTGTCAGTTCACATCTTATTTCCCCTTCACAGCTATAGTCTCAAAATTTTCTTCTCTTTTTTTAAAGCATGTATTTGCTCAGGAAATTACTTATAAAAGTTCGTTACACAATATGAGATTTTATATTCTCCCCCCCTCCTCATATTCTTCATTAGCACCCATATGAGCATGATAAATTTGTTACGGTCATAGACTAGTTTCTGCAGTTAGAAAGAATAGATATAAATGTCTCTGAGAAATTAGGGACCGGGCTTAGCACAGCTGGTTAAAATGCTAAGCAGCAGAAAATCTTGCTGATCAAATGGTTGGCAGTTCAAGCCCGGGTTGGGGTTGTCAATGTGTAATTCGTGTATGATGTGTGTTTAAATGTAATTTTATGTGATAGGATTGTGATTGTAATAGAATTATATTGCCAGGATGTAGTTTGACACAGAAGGGTTAAACAGCAAAGTAACAAGCTGTGAGAATGTGACCCTGAGTTCTTGCTCTGTGAAAGATTAGGGAGTGCCAGAGATAAACTTCCTTCCACCTGCAGTTTGTATTAGTTCCTATCTCTTTCGGTTTGTGTTCTTCACGTCTGTCCGCTGATGGTGTATGTTGTCTGTTTTGAGCTGCTTAAGTAAAGCTAAAAACCTGCTTTTACCGGAGACTCCAGAGTCCATTATTCTGAGCTTCTGCGATACTCTGCTACATGCTAACAGGGATGAGCTCCCGCTGTCAGTCCCAGGTTCTGCTCACCTAGCAGATCGAAAGCAACAATGTGAATAGATAAATACGAGGGTTGAATGAAAAGTAATGCCTCCACCTTCATAACTCCTCAACAGATGGCAATACTGGTATGCGGCAGGTACTGGCTTGTTCAGTAGACTCTCCTCTACAGTTCCATTTTGGCAGGAAGTCTTAGCATTGAATGGTTGTGTTGTTAAAATGTGAAGTATTGAACCCTACGCAGACGGTCGGTCAATGCGACTTAAGCAACGTGCAGTCATTGAATTCTTGATAGCAGAAGGTGCCACCCCAAAGGAGATTCATCAGAGAATGCAAGCTGTTTATGGTGATTGTGTTGATGTGAGTACTGTGTGTCGTTGGGCGAGTAAGTTTAAAGACGTTGAGGTGGGAACATCTGACTTGCATGACAAACAAAGAGTTGGACGTCCTGTGACAGTAACCACCGAGTTTCACAAGCAAAACGTTGACAGATCGATTCAGGACGATCATTGTATCACTCAGAGAGAAATTTCAAGCATAATCGGCATTTCACAAAAATGTGTGGGTCACGTTATTGTTCTGCTTGGCTATCGGAAGATCTGTGCATGATGGATTGTGGAAACAGAGTCAACTTCTTCTGTGACAGCTTCAGAAAACTTGTTCATCATTGGCCAAAATGTATCCAATTGTCTGGTGATTATGTGGAAAAGTGAATAGTGGTAGTTAAAGAGCACATTCTAAGCATTATTTCTGCATTTCATTTTTTAAAATATTCCAATCCAAACCCAAGTAACGAAGGTGGAGGCATCACTTTTCATTCAACCCTCGTAGGTAATAAGTCTCTAAGCGGGGAGATAATAAAAAGCGCCCATAAGGACATGTCTGCAACTTGATCGAGAGGACGTCTACAAAAAACAAACCTCCTTGGCATGGATGATGGAGCAACAGCACCTTCCAGTGGCCAGATTCGAACATAGCATCGAGATGCTGGAGATGAAAAAAGATGGAAAGTCTTTACCTCTGTTTATGTATTGTCTGTCCTCTTTAATTGTATAACGGCATTGAATGTTTGCCGTATATACAGCAGAAAAGTTGGTAGTAAGTGATATTTATTTCCCTTCTAAGAAGTCTGATTAAAGCAAACCAAGGTGAAGACTCTGTTGCAGTGATTTTCAGTCTTTCAGTCCCCAGATGCTTTGGACTTCATTTCCCAGAATCCCTGACCATGCTTGTTTGGCCTCTGGGAATTAAAGTCCAAAATACCTGGAAGACCTAATATTGAGAACTGTTGCTCTATATTATTTAATGACCACAGCTCAATTTTTATTTGTTTGTTGTTGCATATGCAGACATCTCTTTTGAAGCTTAGCACAGCTGATGCAAGGATACTTATCTTGGTATTATTTACGAACTTACATCAACCATGGTATCCTTCTGGGTTGACTCTCAGGGATGGGTCTCGGGAACACTGCACTCCGGTGGCTCCGTTCCTTCCTTGAGAGCTATACCCAGTTGGTGAAGCTGGGGGACACCTGCTCGGACCCCTGACCATTGACCTCTGGGGTCCTGCAAGGTTCCATTCTCTCCCCCATGCTATTCAATATCTACATGAAACCGCTGGATGAGATCATCCGGAGTTTTGGAGTTCAGTGCCATCTCTACGCGGATGACACTCAACTCTATTACTCTTTTCCACCAGATTCCAAGGAAGCCCCTCGGGTCCTGGACCAGTGCCTGATGGCTGTGATGGGCTGGGGGAGGGCTAAAAGCTGAAGCTTAATCCTAACAAAACAGAGGTCCTCCTAGCCAGTCGTGGGACTGATCGGGGAATATCTGTGCTCAATGGGGTCGCACTCCCTCTGAGGACACAGGTCCACAGCTTGGGGGTCCTTTGGACTCAACTTTGACACTTGATGCTCAGGTGTCGGCGGTGGCTGGGAGGGCCTTTGCACAGTTAAAGCTTGTGGGCCAGCTGCACCCGTACCTCGTGAAATTTGATCTGGCCATGGTGGTCCATTCCCTAGTCACCTCTAGGTTGGATTACTGCAACACTCTCTATGTGGGGTTGCCCTTGAAGATGGCCCGGAAACTACAGTTGGTTCAAGGATCAGCATCCAGACTACTCACAGGAGCTGGTTACAGAGAGCGGTCAACCCTCCTGTTTAACCAGCTCCACTGGGTTCCAATAAGTTTCCGGTCCCAATTCAAGGTGCAGGTTATCAGCTATAAAGCCCTAAATGGTTCGGGACCTGCTTATCTCCACGATCACATCTTCCCTTATGAACCAGTGCATAACTTGAGATCTTCTGGGGAGGCATTGCTCTCTCTCTTCCCACCGTCTCATGCATGGTTGGTGGGAACGAGGGAGAGAGCCTTCTTGGTGGTGGCCCTCTGGCTCTGGAACTCCCTCCCTAGGGAGATCAGACAGGTTCCCACCTTGTCCTTCTTTCAGAGTCAACTAAAAACCTGGATGTTCTGGTGTGCTTTGGATTAAGCAGCTCACCAGTAACTTTCCTGTCCCTACTTGAAGTTCCGTACTTTACACCACCCTGCACTTTACACYGGCATATGATCTACCTCAACATGTGTTATGACAGTATTTCCTGCCCAGTTTACTGTATTGTTGCACTTTCCTGTGCTCCTGTAAAAATGTATTGCACTCATTGAATCTGTACCTCAGCTATGTTTCTTTCAGCCATATTGTTTTTATATTGCTTTAAATTGTGTTGTATTTGTTTTATCCGATGATTTAATTGGTTAAAATGTTTYACTTGTGTGTTTTRATTGTAATTTTGGGCTTGTCCCTTGTAAACCGCCCCGAGTCCCCTAGGGGAGATGGTTGGCRGGGTATAAAAATAAAGTTATTATTATTATTATTATTATTATTATTRTTGTTGTTGTTGTTATTATTATTATTGCTATCCAGAACAAGAGAGACAAAGCTAGCCAAGCAGCCAGTCCAGGGGGAAAAAGAATTAAGTGTTTTGTTACTATCTCAAACAAGCATTTATTTATGTTTTCTTCCAGAGCATGTATATTTTCTTGCACACGGTCAAAGGGACGCCGTTTGAAACTCCCGATCAGGGGAAAGCCCGGCATCTCACCCATTGGGAACAGATGGATTATGGTGTCCAATTCACAGCTTCCCGCAAATTCCTGATGATCACACCAATTATACTGTGAGTAGGAACAGTTGCCCTAGGATTGTATGACTGTTCTGTGTACTTACTGCAGAATTCTGAGATATATAGGCTCCTAAACATAACTCTCTCAAGCTAAGTGGCATGTCTTTACTATACAAGGAGTGCTGCAATTTGAAGTGAGATAAAAACAAGAGGCAGGGACTTTGGTAAAAGTATGTATAATAGAAATGGAAAAGATGGGATAGAGCCTAGAAACGCATCTGCTCATGGATTGAAATCGACAAACATATGTTCAGGAAAGCAACCATGTTGAATGGGACCAAAAACCAATTTAGTCCTGTTTCATGCAGTGGCTAATGTAATGGCAAGGGAGAAGTTCATAAACAGGATTTGCACTTTAAAAAGGGATCTTTAGTTGATTGGGCTTTTTAGAGGGATTGGAATATAACTTCCAGAATCCCAAATTCCATCACTATTGGAATCCTGGTGGCACAGCAGGTTAAACTGCTGAACTTGCTGATCAAAAGGTTGGCGGTTCGAATCCAGGGAATGGAGTGAGCTCTCACTGTTAGCCCCAACTTCTGCCAACCTACCAGTTTGAAAACGTGCATATGTGAGTAGATCAATAGGTCTCCATTTCTAAGCCGACGAGCCGGCATTGTCCATAGAGATCTCCAAGGTTATGTGGCCAGCATAACTGCATGGAGTGCCATTACCTTCCTGCCAAGGCAGTACTGCTCCCCAGATTCCAACCTGCAACCTTTTGGTCAGCAAGTTCAGTAGCTCAGCACTTTAACCCACTGCGGTACCGGGGACTCCTTTGTATTATAATATTGTATTGTAATTCTACCCAGACTGCCCCTCAAACAGAAGCTGGGGCTGACAGCAGAAGCTCACCCCGCTCCCCAGATAAGTATGGTTAAACAGCCACCGTGTGGTGTAGTTTTGAATAACTGCTATATGGCTCTGACTAACTAGTAAAATAATTCTTTGCTAATTTTGTTCTCTAAGAAAGCAACAGATTATGTTAGCAGTTTTCCTCCCAATGTAAGAAAGTCTTCAAAAACTGTAAAGTTTTAGAAAACTTGTTTGGGATTTATTAATATGAACAGCAAATATTTTTATTCATCCAGAATTCTCTACATCAAGATTTCCTCACACTCAGGAAACACATTTTCCAATCTTTTAAAAATATTATTGAACATTAATTCTATCCTTAGCTCTTTTGTACAGTTGGCCCTCCACATTTGAGACTTTAACTTTTGTGGATTTGCGCATTCATGGATTTGCTTAAAATGATTCTCTAGTAATCTCTAGATCTTCCAGTGTGAGTCTGTCATCAATATTGAATGGAAATTGAGCATCTCTCAAGTAAAATAAACATTTCTTTTCACTTTCACGGGGTCCTGCACCCCTAACCCTGGTAAATGTGGAAGGCTGACTGTATATCTTTCTACTACCTAGCTATTTGGAAGAGATGAGCTCACCTTGGTATGTCATTCCTGAACTGGGCATAGATCCAGGCCTCTTCAAGGGTTCTTTACTTGCCAGATGCTGACACATGTTACTATTCTGGCACAAGCTTTATTGTTGATAAATGATGCAGAAGATGGTCCACAGCAGAGAAGCATTTCCAGTGTTTTTGTATGGTAGAGCCCAGCATCCCACAGCCATTGGTAGAATTGGACTCTAAACTATTTATTTATTTATTTATTTATTTATTTATTTATTATATTTTTACCCCACCCTTCTCACCCTGAAGGGGACTCAGAGCAGCTTACAAGTTATATGTACATACAGTATGTTATACGATGACACAATGTTAGTATTATATATTACTATATTGTCCTATACCACTATACTGTAATATTATTAGTAATATTACATGTAATATAAAATATATAATAATTATATTGTATTATTATAAGGTAAAAGTAAAGGTTTTCCCCTGACATTAAATCCAGTCGTATCCGACTCTGGGGGTTGGTGCTCATCTCCATTTCTCAGCCAAAGAGCTAGCATTGTCCATTGACACCTCCAAGGTCATGTGGCCAAGCATGACTGCATGGAGCGCTGTTACCTTCCTGCCAGGGCAGTACCTATTGATCTACTCACTTTTGCAAGTTTTCGAGCTGGGGCTAACAGCGGGAGCTCACCTCACTCTCCAGATTCAAACCTGCGACCTTTCGGTCAGCAAGTTCAGTAGCTCAGTGCTTTAACCCACTGCGCCACTGGAGGCTCATTTGTATTATAATATTGTATTGTAATTCTACCCAGACTGCCCTCAGACAGCAAATTCAGTCCCCATCATTAGACATATGAGATGCTTGCGCTTGAGCTGGTGTACACACATCCACAATGTGAGATTAGCAGGTCTGACATTTGGGAGTTGTAGTTACTGGGATTTATAGTTCACCTACAATCAAAGAGCATTCTGAACGCTACCAATGATGGAATTGGGCCAAACTTCCCACACAGAACCCCCATGACCAACAGAACATACTGTGTTTTCCAATGGTCTTTGGCGACCCCTCTGACACCCCCTGGCGACCTCTCCAGGGGTCCTGACCCCAAGGTTGAGAAATGTTGATGTAGGTCAAAAGATAATAATAATAATAATAATAATAATAATAATAATAATAATAATAAAAACTTTATTTATACCCCACTCCATCTCCCCCAGCGGGACTCGGTGCGGCTTACATTATCTTGATTTTGGTCTAATACAAAGTCAAACATACCTAATAAAAAATATTCTGGCTTGAACTTAAATCTTATTTTCAAAATTTGTTGTATTGTTTTATGAATGTCTTTCCAGAAGTCTCTGGCCAGTGGATCTTGAGGAAAATGGTAATTTTTGAAAGCTGGAAAAAAAGGAATACAAAGCAACACAATTAATTCTTCTCTTTTTCTTCTATTTCTCCGATTTTCCCCATCTTCGCAGTTATTTTCTTACCAGTTTCTACACGAAATATGACCGGACGCACTTCATCATCAACACCATCTCCTTGATGAGCGTCTTGATTCCCAAACTACCCCAGCTGCATGGTGTCCGGATCTTTGGAATCAACAAGTACTGAGCTCGGGTATATATTTTTTACAATATCCCTTCTTGTGAGCTGTGAGAGTCCAGTTTGAGGACCCCACTTCCTTACTTCTGGCTGCATCTTCGGGATACACATCCAAGGTGGCTCTTTTCAAGCGGGCATGTACGACGCCGGATTCCAAGATCCAAGAAACCTGAACTGGCTCAAGCGATGCCTGAATCCTAGATAGAGCTTAACTTGCCGAAAGACATGGGGAAGCTAAGACTGATTAGCATTATTACCGTAGTATTTTATTTTCCTCCTGAGAATCTGAAAATAGATGCAGGCAGTCCTGCAGTTTGAAAGGTACTCATAGCTTGTGCTCCAGGGGGATAAAAGACATCCAGCCCAGAAGGTGGAACACATGTAGAAAGTTAGGAGCCTGTTACAAGGTGGCATTTAGGATGGTAGCAAATGCACTTTAAGATGAAACTGTCCCAACCGGGGAATTTTGACTTGTTTGTTGAAAGGGCTGCATCTGAAATTTTGCAACACCCACTAGGTATAAGGGAGATAGGTATCTCCAAGGTTGACAAACCCTAGTTGATCATTTATTTACTCCATCGGCAAGTGGAAGAGAATCCCATTCCTTTTGTTTACACTAATAAAGTCCCACTGCTCCAAATTGTCTTTTGAAAGCACAGTTTGACAGTCACATGGCTGCTCTCTCTACTGAAGTATCTTTCCTGACTCCAGAGACAAGAGCAAAATCACCAGTGTTTTGGTAGAGATACAGATTACTTACCATTATCTTGCACAGTGTTATTTGTGGGAAAGGCCAGTATGAGGCCAAGAAACCCAAGCCTCTCTGGAATACTCTTCCTTTTAGAATGTCAACGGATCCGTGTGTTTGATTTAGTAGGAAACCTCCTGTAGATTATCCCCTGGTTATTCGTTCACGGCAGTACTGCGATTCAAAGGGATTTGAACCTGACTGCTTGAGTATCCTTGACTCCCTCTTCCCAGAATAAGTGTCAGAATAGTTTCCTTTGCCCGACATTATCTATTTACTACATTCTTGTCCAGGAGCCAATGACTCCTTCTATCAGCCAACTTTCTAAGCCCGCAGTGGGGCTAACAAAAACAAGGAGGATGCTCTTCCACTTATGCAGCACCATTTTCACTGCAGCTTTTTAAATTAGGTTAGAATAAGAAGAAAGCAAAATGACAGCAACCCTGCAAACTATGATATTCTGTGGCTTCTGTTGACAACAGTCTTTCAAGCATGGGCTTCAACCCAAGTAGCTGACGGGACATCTGGAAATCCCTTTGATAAGTTTTGGTTAGAAACATCATGGACTTATAAGCTTGCTTCCTGTTATGAAGGATGCAAGCCTTGTAAGAAAAGTGTGGAAACACCCTGCACCCTTCACAGAAACGCACAAAATGGTTAGCTAGGAGAAAATCTTTGTAATAGATCCAAACAGGGCTAGAGCATTTCCTGGCATCTGTTAGAGCTTCTAAAAATTAGAAGCCGACACTAGAACTTGCTTCTTTCTATTGCTCTCTGGTGGCGTACAAATGTTGATTTAGCCTTAGAGAATGAAACTGTAAATTGCAAGGTACTGTACAGAATGTCACTTCTCCTTTTGGAAGTTTCCTGCTACCAAATTTGGCACCGAATACTTAATTAAGTGTAAAATAAGTTATTAAACCTGTTTCAGGAAAGGGAAGCACCGCGGAGCTATTATGGGGAAATAAATGTGCAGCAGGAAGAAAGGACAAAACAGGCCCGAAAAGATGGAGGGGTTGTTATAACACCTAGGAAACTTTACTGGTTTGGGTTGTTGTAGGTTTTTTCGGGCTATATGACCATGGTCTAGAGGCATTCTCTCCTGACGTTTCGCCTGCATCTATGGCAAGCATCCTCAGAGGTAGTGAGCATCCGAGAGGCATTCTCTCCTGATGTTTCGCCTGCATCTATGGCAAGCATCCTCAGAGGTAGTGAGCTTCCACTACCTCTGAGGATGCTTGCCATAGATGCAGGCAAAACGTCAGGAGAGAATGCTTCTAGACCATGGCCATATAGCCCGAAAAAACCTACAACAACCCAGTGATTCCGGCCATCAAAGCCTTCGACAATACGTTTACTGGTTTGGACTAAAACCCTCCAGTAGCCATGCTTCCTGGAGAGATCTAGGTAGATGTAGTTTAATATTGTCACTTTGCTAAGATTTGATTGAGAACTGCATTGAAACTCTTACTTGAACAGAACATTTTTGGGCTTATCAGGTCCCGCCATCTTTTTTTGACCCACATCTGAAACACTTAATGATTGCACCAATAAGTTTAGAAATCTAAATTTGGCAACTGAGCTAACTTGAGACACAGTACAAAAAAGAGTTGGCCAGTAAGTTTAGAAATCTAAATTTGGCAACTGAGCTAACTTGAGACACAGTACAAAAAAGAGTTGGCCAGTATGCAGCAAGGAACTTCATGCTTGGCCAAGCCAAGTATAAATACCAGGAGTCTGGGTCATTTGCCCTTCTTTGTTTAACACAGCAGGGATGTTCTTGTTGCTGCACTCAAGGGCTCCAGTAGATGGGCTTGATTGCAATGACCATCTCCTGACTATTGCTTCCTGTCCAGATCTGGTCCTAGATAAAGTCACCCAAGTGTGTGTTCTAGCCCTACTGGCCTTTTGTTATTGTAATGTTATATAAATAAGAACATTCACACAATTCTAAGTGTGAGCACTTGTGCTTGTGAATTAAGAAGGCGAGAGTCATTTTAAATTTCCAATTAGACAGTTTATTGTGTCAAGGACAGGTTTTGCTCAGAACTTGACATCTAAGCACAGAAAGGGAAGCAGGCTCTTCCCAATGTAATTCTTCTCTGAGAGAAGGAAGTGACTTTCCCAGCTCAGTACACCTCTCTATAAAGTGGCAACGAGGATTAACATTGTAAGCTAGTCACCAAACTCGCAGCACAATTGAAAGTTCTGGGCTGCCATTGACTTCATTTATTATTATTATTATTATTATTATTATTATTATTATTACCCCTGTATTAAGACATCTGGGCAGCAGCATATTTTTAATTATTTATAAAAAGGGAACATAACAAGAATAAGCAGCAGTGAAAATATAATAAGGAAGAGGCAGAGATGTCTCATGTTTAAAAAAAGCAGACAAACTTTGAAAAGTGTTAATTTATTTGTTGCGGGATTTCTTTATCTAATGTAAGTGCTTCAATTACTATTCCTTCTTTTCTTGCGCTACAGCTTTAATTTGACTTCTGTTGCCATTCTTCATTTTGCTGTAAATTAAAAAAACTATTGTCGTGATGTCAAAATTATAGTGGAAGGCTGTTGCCAACCTCCGAAGGTTCAGAAAGGCGGGTTGTGCATTGCAACCAGCCGTAGAGCACTAAATGATTTTACGAAGCGAACAAACGCACAATTCTTAAACGTCAGCTCTTCCTTTGATAACAAAGCAAAATGGGAGGAAGAAACCTTTTGTTGATTAGTGTTATCTGTGGCTCGAAAATGAATAACATAAAAGGGCTTGTATATTAATTTGTACTCTTCCAATACAGAGGGCCAAGGCCTTAAACACAGCCTAAAGATTGCTGTAATACAGTGACTCTCAACTTGTGGGTCTCAGATATTTTGACCTTCAACTCCGAGAAATCCTAACAACTGGTAAACTGGCTGGGATTTTTGGGAACTGTAGGCCAAAACACCCGTGGACCCACAGGTTGAGAACCACTGCTGTAATAAGTCTGACAAATGTTTATTTTTTGAGATTATACATTGTTGCCTGGTGAAAAGAAAAAGGAAAGCCAAGGTGTACAATATTCATGTGATTTCTTTGCAAGATCCTTCTCTTATTATTACCCAATGGAGTCAGGTGGCTCTGGTAGCAGAGTGCCATGGTGATAAACCTATTTTGGGAATAGATTTCTACTCCTTTAACGTTCACGCTAACATCCAGAGTTGATTCACCACCCAACCGGCATCATAACAACAAGCTCCCGCTGATATTGACATATTTTTATTCGTCCATGTAAGGGAAGGGTAGTGGTGACTCTCCAAATATTCTTGAATTGCGTTTTCCCTCTATCTGTCATGATTAGTTCGCCCCTATTCCGGGTACCAAGAGGATTGTCCTGTTCTCAGGCAACACTGTTATTGGAACACTCAACATCATTCACATGTATTTATAAGCCCGGATTTCATAGGAATAGTGGCTAATCCAGGGTAAGCAGTTAAACAAGCTATCTGTTCATTGTTGGTTTGTTGTGCAGTCAACACTTGGGAGGAGCAAGCACTCTGGCTAGACATTCCTCCTACAAGCAAGATACTTAACCGATGACCTGTTGCAGGAATGTGTCCAGAGGAGAGCGACTAAAATGATCAAGGGTCTGGAGAACAAGCCCTATGAGGAGCGGCTTAGGGAACTGGGCATGTTTAGCCTGAAGAAGAGAAGGCTGAGAGGAGATATGATAGCCATATATAAATATGTGAGAGGAAGCCACAGGACTAATGATCAATGGAGTCTGCTTTTCTGGAGACTAGGACGCGGAACAATGGCTTCAAACTACAAGAGAGGAGATTCCATCTGAACATGAGGAAGAACTTCCTGACTGTGAGAGCCATTCAGCAGTGGAACTCTCTGCCACGGAGTGTGGTGGAGGCTCCTTCTTTGGAAGCTTTTAAACAGAGGCTGGATGGCCATCTGTCAGGGGTGATTTGAATGCAATATTCCTGCTTCTTGGCAGGGGGTTGGACTGGATGGCCCATGAGGTCTCTTCCAACTCTTGATTCTATGATTCTGTGATAGGTTGAGAAGCTCGGAGTGTGGTGGAGGCTCCTTCTTTGGAAGCTTTTAAGCAGAGGCTGGATGGCCATTTGTCAGGGGTGATTTGAATGCAATATTCCTGCTTCTTGGCAGGGGGTTGGACTGGATGGTCCGTGCGGTCTCTTCCAACTCTTTGATTCTATGATTATTCCTCTTGCTTGTTGGGAAAGAAACAAACCATGGGACAGGTTCAGCCAGTCGATCCTAATATTCTGGGTCACCCACAATAATTTGGAATTCTTCAAAACTGTATTGTTGTAACATCTAAACCAGGGGTCCACAAACTTTTTAAACAGAGGGCCAGGTCACAGTCCCTCAAACTGTTGGCGGGCCGGATTATAATTCGAAAAAAAACATGAATGAATTCCTATGCACACTGCACATGTCTTACTTATAGTGCAAAAACATTTTAAAACAATACAATAATTAAAATTAAGAACAATTTTAACAAATATAAACATATTAATATTTCAATGGAAAATGTGGGCCTACTTTTGGCTGATGAGATATGATTGTTGTTGTTATTGTGTGCATTCAAGTCGTTTCAGACTTAGGCTGACTCTGAGCGAGG